TATATATAATAAATATATATAAATATATATATTTTGTATATATATATAAAGAATGTAAAAAAAACTTAATTTGCAATTTATATTTGTTGTTTTTGATTATTTTATTATTAAAGTAAATGTACAAAAAAGCTTAAAAAATACAAAACAGATAAAAGTTACTTCTTGATGTTTAAAAATGTCTCGGCCTTAAAATCTTTGATAACACGTAACTTAGTTTAATGTTAAAATTATTGCAAAATTTTCAATTAATGTCAATAGATACAAGAGCTAGTGAAATTATAAATAAGTGCCTTTTATCAAGTTTTAGATGAAATGTCTATAACTATTATAAAATGTCTGCCGCTCTCACAACAACAACAACAACAATACAAAGTTTAGGCTGATCGATCAACATTTCCGATTTTAGTAGGTTGACATCATTCAGCTGACCAATCAGCGCGTTGTGCCATCAGGATATTTAGTCGCACGTGTTACTGTTGATAACCAAACATCGCACCAAGTTTACTAGATAATGTGGTTAGGAAGCAGAGCAGAATTATTTGCTGCATTCACTTTTGCTCACTAGGAGCGCTGCGACTAAGATCTAGACGGAAAGCAGGGCCGTGTTCAGTAACACAGAATTCTTGCTAAGTCTAGTTATGCTGCAATGATGAACTCGTTTCTAACTACTGCTTGACTCCTCCCACCACTAGCTTCTTTTATGTATTCTTAGCTCCGCCCACTAAGCCACTCAGAATTCTAACTTAGGTGTTCTGCGTTACTGAACACTGCCCAGGCTAAATATATACCCCGCGTTTCTTTATGCAGCGCTCGAGAAGCGCTTTACAGCGAACACACTGAAACTGGTTTCTAATTGGCCAACACTGCTCGTGACGTCATTTCGCTACACACTCGCTGAATAAAGAAACGCGGGGATACAAAACATATACTGTATATAACTAATATGTAACGTGACTTCTAAATATAAATTAAGACCTTCCTGAATATAATTAAATTTAAAAAATAGAACTGTTCAGCCGTTTTTTCAAAACTGCTGGACCATGCTTCCAGATAAATGA